CCAGTGATGATGAAGGATTCAGAGGCGCAGCGTTGACCTCCATCATGCAGACTCTTCCTTCGTTGCTGCTTCAGGAGGTTCTGATGTAACGAAGCTGCTCAGCTGCTTCCTGGAAGTTGCTCTGATCCGCCAGAAACTTTCTCCGGCTGAAATAGTTTCCAGAAACGCCTCCGGGTGATGCAACCGGGCCGATCTGCAGCCGGAGGGCAGAACAGTGAAACGAGGAGGTTCTTCTGCAGCGACCGGAGGCTCAAAATGTCTCGTTTTATTACAGAACTATCAGACGTATGGTTCATTAAAGCCTCTCCTCTTCTAGAACCCTCTGCTGAGGGTTTCGTAATGCTGATGATGATTCTGGTCCGATCCTGTCTGGACCTGTCCGCCGCTCATTATCTCATCTGGACTCAGTTACAGCAGCAGCAGTGGAAAACTACCTCCAATCAGCTCGTCGACCAGTTTTAGAGAAGAAGAAGCATAAAGACGAGCTTTTAAACAGAATCAAACAGAGTCAGTCCAAAGCCGATGAACGTCTGGACTCTGGTCAGAACCATCGACAGCTGATCACCAGAAACAGGAAGTAAACGCATCAGAGCTGTTTGTTTGTCAATAAACTGCATCTGGATCATAAATAGAGTAAATCTGATGATAAAAAAGCAGATTTTCTGGTTTAAACAGGATGAATTTATAATAAAATAAATAAATCTCAAACTGTTATTCGGTTTATTTTCCGCTAAAATCGTAGAAAACGTACAAACTGATGCAAATCGGTAGAAAGAAGACATAAATAAACAGGAATGAGAGTTGACACGACGATGTTCTGGAGAGAATCCAGCAGCTGCTCGTCCACCAGGAGAAGAAACCTTCAGCAGCAGCTGGTTGGACGTCCGGTGAGACTGGAAGGAATCAACTGGTCAGACAAAGTTAACGTCCTGTTCATCAGCCGGAGAAGCTTTGAAGCACGTTGGACGACTTTTTAAAGGCTCTGGAAAGGTTTGGAGGAAACCAGAAACCAGATCCAGCGTTCAGACCGACTCCTGGATCTGGTTCTGTTTCCTGTTGTGTGTCTGTTTTCTGCTCGTCTTTGTCTGTTTTTGTCTCCCGTCTGTCGTTTTGTGTTGTTTTGTGTTGTTTTGTTTGTCTTTGGGTCGGGACTTTCCTCATTGTGGTCATTTTTGTTTTTGTTATTTTGCGTCTCGTTTCCGTTGTTTGTGGTCGTTGTGTGTCTTTGTTTTGTGTGATTTTGTGTGTTTGGTTTTTGTTGTTTTGTGTGTTAAAACTTGCAGAGCTTCTGGTTCAGCTGCAGGTTTGTCGATAGTCGTATGTATTTGTGTATCGGTGGACGGAGGGTTGTGTTGTTGTTGTTGTTGTTGTTGTGTTTTCAGCAGAGTGTGTGACGGTTGTTGTTGTCGTCGTCGTTGTGGTTCTGTTGTTGTTCCTCCACCGTCTGACTAACGGTCGCTATCTGCTGAGGTTCACCCACGATAAGGATGAAGTCAACAGTGACACCTCAACACACACACTAACACACTGACACACACACACACACACACACACACACACACACAGGAACACACGTGTGATTAACGTGTCATCATCATTGTCGACTCACTGAAGCAGAATTCTGTGTGTTTGTGTTGTTGAAGAAAAATGAGCTCATGGAGGAAGCTGCGGTCACACAACTACACACAACTACAGACAGACACACAACTACACACTATAACACATGATAACACGATAACACAATGATACACAATAAAAAACTCTCACGCACAATAACATGACAACGCAACAACACAATAAAACAATAACACACTATAACATGCACAATAACACAATGATACAAAATAGCACACACACACAGGTACAAAGAATAACACAACAAT